CTTTGCATGGTCAGCTGATCCTCCAGTGAAGTGAGAAGGTTTATAGTCCTGTGAGTTCAACACTGCAGGACTCAGATGTGTCAGTCAACACAGCAGAAAGCACAAGCACCATGACTCTCATCACCATCCTCATCTGGACGCTGGCCTGCTGCTGTTTCACAGGTTCATTCACTCAGCAACATTTCAAACATGATGTGCTGCCTTTTCTCTCATTGATTTCTGCTGATAAATGAATGATTTGTTTTTGTCTGCAGGATGCAGCGCTCAGGTGACTGTGACTCAGCCTCCAGTGGTGACATTTACTCCAGGATCCACTGTCACTCTCACCTGTAAGACCAGCCAAGATGTTTACAGATATGAGGATGATGACAGTGAATTTGAGGCTATGTTCTGGTATCAACAGAAATCTGGACAGCCTCCAAAGACCCTAATATCAATTGTCAACATACGTGTATCAGGAACACCAGCTCGGTTTAGTGGCAGTGGAAGCAGCTCTGACTTCACTCTGACCATCAGTGGAGTTCAGACTGAAGATGCAGCAGTTTATTACTGTCAGAGTGTACACTTAATAAACAGTGCTGAGGTGTTCACACAGTGATTTATGGTGGTACAAAAACCTCCCTCAGTCAGACTGCAGAGACACTGAGCTGTTACAGCAGGAACCGACTGCAGCTGCTGAAGAGGAAGAGACTCTGACACAGACCACTGAACACAGAGCTGACAGTAATCTCACCAAGCACACACTACATATTTACGGTAATAACTTGATATATTTTATATATGTCTGTGTACTTTCATTTTTATTCCATGTCAAGAAGTTATGACAAGCAACATCCCATAATGTTAATTTTCCATTGAGGCATATCATCACAATTTATAAAGTCTGTGTAACCTAGAATTCAAATATACATAATCATATTATTTTTCCATTTTACAAAATAGATTAAACATTTTCTGAAATATACATTGTGATGAAAAAGTGAACAAAGAGCTCGCACACTGCAGGGCTGCAATGCTGAAGTTTTAATGAAGTTAATGAAGTGACGTTTCGAGCGTTATGCTCTTCATCAGACTAACAAAACAGAGGGTGCCGCCATCTTAAGTATACACAAAATGTGGTCGTCACGTGATACAATGATGTGTTCAAGGAAAGTAGAAAGAAAACAGGTAACATAACAACTTTAAAGAGAAAATGTACCTCATTTCATAATATCATAGGGTACCACAATGTATATGTACTTCCTAGCTGTGCGCATGTATACACACAAACCTCATAATCAATGTAAATACGCGTGAGTGTCTACACACAAGAAAACGGACCTACAGATGCCTTGACAGCGTCCGTAAACATATCCTATAAATAAATAGAGATATGTACAAAGATACAAAAAGACCATCAGTCTAAATATATATATATATTTACATATATACATATATATATAAATAGACACACACAAACAAACAACAAAGCACATACAGTGTTGGATGAACAACACGGGGTAGAGTGTTTGACACAACATCAGGCCAATAAGCCCTCATAAAGGACAGAACAACACTACTGAGGTACCTCAAAGTACGGTGATGTGTAAAAGATAACAACAAAACACCATATAGAAAGCAGTACGTAGCAAAAACAAATGCATGCAATCAGAGGAGCATAACCACCAGTGTCAGTCAGAGGAATTACAGGAAAGGTTGAATGTTTAGTTTAGTTTAGTTTATTTGTTTATTTGAAAAGGGACAATGTACATTAATCAACATTTAAAAAAAAAAAAAAAAGTAAAATGCACCCGAAATAGCCGAGAGGCTAATTTTCATCGGTAGTCCCTTTGCCAGTTGTTAAAGGCATCAGTAAAATACAACATCCAATATATCTAAAAAAATTACCCATTAAATATAAACGTTATATACAAGATAAACATTCTGTACGGCACACACATACCGTTGAGTGACAATAACCCACAATTGCATAATGCACTCCTATATAATAGTGAGGCAAACATCAATGTTCACGTTTTTGTGTTTCAACAAGCCATTTCTTGGCATTGCGCTTGAATGAATGATATGACGGAGATACTCTGATTGATTGTGGTACTGAATTCCATTGATGTGATGCTCTGAAGGAGAAAACTTCCTGACTGAATGTGGTTTTTCTTAAGGGAATTGTGCTGTCTCCCCTCACTGCACCTCTCGTACGCCTATTACCGGAAGATCTGATATTAACATATCCAGATAGAGCAGGAGGAGCTGAACCATGCAAGATCTTATATACCAGACAGATGTTTTTGAATATAATGAGGTTTTCCCAACTAAGCAATTTATATTTATTCAGTATATGACAATGATGAAATCTGAAAGGTTTCTTGTCTAATATTTTAAGTGCTTATATAATGATTCTATTGTTTTCATTATTGTGGTGTTTGCAGTAGACCAACTTGTCAGACAGTATGTGATGTGGGAGAGAACCATAGCGAAGAAGTACATCCTGGCTGCTTCAGTTGAAAACGAGTCCCTGATGAATGTGAAGTTTGATAAACTTAACTTAACTTTGTTCCTGACTTTCTTAATGTGGATTTTGAAGCTGAGGTTTGAATCTATGTGCAGTCCTAGGTATTTGTATTCCGTAACCACCTGTACCCTCTCTCCAGAGATGAAAACATCTGGCATCACATTTATGTTTGTTTTTTTCTTAGAGAAAAACATACAGACTGTTTTTGACAGGTTAAGTTGCAGACAGGACAGTTTAAGCCAGGCTGTGACTAATAACATAGCATCTGCTAACTTTGTTGCAACTTCCTCTGGTGTTTTACCATGACCAATTATAACTGTGTCATCAGCATACATTAATATATCACAATTATCACACACAGATGGTAAATCATTGATGTACATGCTGAACAGAACAGGACTGAGTACTGAACCTTGTGGGACACCAGTTAATAATTGCAAGGGGTTGGAAGTACGATTTTTAATTCTAACAATTTGAGAACAAGATGAGAGGTAGGATTTGATGAGGCTGATGAATTCAATGTCTATCTCCCCGTTGAGACCCCTAGGTGACATAGTGTCCAGTCCAGTCCGCCTTGTATAGGCACATTTGTATATAAAGATTCAATGTCCATGGTCACCAGCAGCTGTTGACTGTGGCTGTGTTGTACATTTTTTATCATTTTAATAAATTCAGTGGAATCTTTTATGTAGGAGGGCAGAGAAGCTACACAGGGTTGAAGGAAAAAGTCTACAAAGGCAGATATTTTTTCTGTTAGGGAACCAATCGCAGCTACAATCGGTCTCCCAGGAGGAGTGTCACTGTATGGTTTATGTATCTTAGGTAAAGTGTAGAAAACCGGTATCACAGGTGAGTGAACCAACATAAAGGAGTGTTCATGTTTAGTGATGTCTCCTTTGGCTAGGAGTTCATTGAGACATCCATGGACTCTGGTTTTGAATTCATTAGTTGGGTTTACAGGAAGCTTCCGATAGAAAGTGTCATTAACAAGTTGCCTCATCACTTCCAAGTTGTACATAACTCTGTCTAGTATCACCAGGGCACCCCCTTTGTCTGCACTTTGAATAACAATGGACTTAGCATTTTTTAGAGTGTCCAGTTCAATGCGTTGTAGTTCTGACAGGTTATGTATAACTTTGTATTGTCTCTTTTGTCCCAGTAACTTAGATATATCTCTTTCCACCAATCTGCAGTATGTGTCAACTGAAGAGTTTCTGTGTTGTGGTGGAATGAAAGTTGATTTACCTCTAAAATGAGTACAAGGTCTAGTGGGGGAGTTAGAGGTGGTTTCCTGGTCCTCCACAGTCCCTGTGTTGCTGGTGGGGCCCGTCCTGTGGGTGTCAGTAGAGCTGTTAACATAGTGAAAGTGGTCCCCCTGATGATTCTTGAAGAACTCCTTAAGGGGTAGGTTCCAGAAAAACCTCTGGACATCAACAAATACATCAAAGTCTTTACAGTGGATAGTGGGACAAAAAGAAAGGCCCTTACTCAGGGCAGAAACACAAGTGTCTGTGATGGGCTTACTTGATAGATTGAGGACATTCACTTCCTCCACCTCTGGCGTGTGTTGTAGGGCTCTCTCTGGGCGTAGAAATAGACATTGTGCCTACTTGCTGACAGACACCACTCTCACATCTGTCCATTAAATATGAAGCTAGCCAGCAACAGTTTAGCTTAGCTTAGCATAAAGACTTGAAACAGAGGTAAACAGCTAGCCTGGTTCTGTCTAACATTAACTAAAACCACCTCCCAGCACCTCTAAAGCTCACCAGTTAAAATGTAATATGTTTGTTTAACCATCACAAATAACAGAGAAGAAAATCAGCTTGTTGTGGTTTTACAGGAGTACATACTGGAAACAATGGGTTCGTTAGGAAATCCTCACTCCAAGTGCTGGAGTGCACTCTGGCACAAACTGGACCATCTGTAAAGTTGGAGCGCTGTTAGAAAGTAGCGCTCGGTTATTCAGAACACCACACTCTCGGAGCAGCAGAGCGTACTCTGGGCGCTCTGTCTGGGGAAACGGAGCAGCAGAGCAACAAGTCATTAACTTAATGGTTTGTAACTCATGTAGAAGAACAACGCTCTGTTTCTTCCAACAACAGCGCTCTCATTTTATAGTTGAGGGTCAGATTGTATTTCTGAACACACAGGTAACCAGTGGAGACTTTGTTTTCTTTGCACAGATCAAATAAACCAGAATTCAAATAGGCTCGTGAGTTCTGGAGGAGCTGATTGGCTGATCTTCTTGTCAAAGGACAGACACCCTTTTCCCCTGCTTCCAGTCTGTATGTTAAGCTAAGCTCACTGGCTTCAGCTTTATATTAACCATATGATATGAGAGTTTCATCATGAAGTTGAATGAGTCTGTTTCCTGCAATACTAAACTCAAGTGCCGGTCCTAGACTTTTGGGGGCCCTAAGTGGACTTTGTGGGGCCCTCCTCAGAGTAAGCTGTTGCCACTTCACATGGCACTAAACCAGCTCATGTGAACTGTAGTCTAAGCACTTATTATTACAAATAAGTATGTAAAGAGTAAAGTGCAGCAACAGTATCTTTACAGTAAATACAGTGTTTGTCTATTTGTCCCTGAACCCCATGAATGGTCCATCTCAGGCCTTTTGCTCGACCCAGTGAGTTTGATGCTGTTCTGCCTTTGGGTTATGTTTTTTTTAATGTAATTCATTCATGTAATAGTTTGTAAAAGGTTATTTTAACAGTAGAGGAAACAGTGCAATCTCCCACCTGTCCATTTTAATGTGTTTTTGTCTTTGATTTTTGGCTGAACCCTGACCAAGGAAGGGAGGACTAGGGCCTGTCCAAGCTGTGGCCTAGCTCCCTAAGCATCCACTCCTATTGTACAGTTGAGTGTTGTTGTGTTTTCATGTTGCACTTTACTTTTAATCTTGCTTGTCTCTCTTTGTGTGTGTAACCTTTCTTTTTGCATTGGCCTGAGTGTGTTTTCCCCTAAAATTTCCCCCTGGGCTGGCAGACAGCAACCCTCCCCCTGACTGAGTCCTCAACTTACACAGCCATTTTTGGAATATATTTCGGTTTTAGCTTTATTTTTCTAGGAGTGTCACATGTGTTACTAATTTGAAACCTTGTGTCTACTCTCCCTTCAAGGCAAATTGGTAAAAATGATTGAAACGGTCCCAGTGCTCAGCCTCTGGTCACATTGCCATGGAACGTGATGAGAAAGATCAGTTGGGGTGATGAGCTGAAACACTGAGCAGCCCGAAATACACTGAGGTCAGACAGGTTAACATCACATTATCGTGCAACACCTGGTCAAGAGACATACATGACTATGACTGAAGAAACTCAAACAATCAAATTGTGTCAGATCATAGTGAGTTCAGTGTTGATCCAATGTGCCAGCAGGGGGTGCTATAGACCTGTTAATGAAGACGTCACATGAGACTATAAAGAAGTAAGAGTTTTTGATGAAGAGAAGAACCATAAAAACAGCACAAAGTCAAACTTTTTGAGATGGGCTTTCAACGGCCAAATAATCCTCAAGATGATGAACTGTTGCAGTGTAGCAGCTGATACATGGTCAAATGCCCATGATGCCTTGAGTGTGTTGAGAGCAGAGAAATGATTTCCATAGAGAGGAGGCTTTGCATGGTCAGCTGATCCTCCAGTGAAGTGAGAAGGTTTATAGTCCTGTGAGTTCAACACTGCAGGACTCAGATGTGTCAGTCAACACAGCAGAAAGCACAAGCACCATGACTCTCATCACCATCCTCATCTGGACGCTGGCCTGCTGCTGTTTCACAGGTTCATTCACTCAGCAACATTTCAAACATGATGTGCTGCCTTTTCTCTCATTGATTTCTGCTGATAAATGAATGATTTGTTTTTGTCTGCAGGATGCAGCGCTCAGGTGACTGTGACTCAGCCTCCAGTGGTGACATTTACTCCAGGATCCACTGTCACTCTCACCTGTAAGACCAGCCAACCTGTTTACAGATACTCTAGTTATGGAGATTGTATGTACTGGTATCAACAGAAATCTGGACAGCCTCCAAAGCTCCTAATAAAATTTGTGAGCACACGTGAATCAGGAACACCAGCTCGGTTTAGTGGCAGTGGAAGCAGCTCTGACTTCACTTTGACCATCAGTGGAGTTCAGACTGAAGATGCAGCAGTTTATTACTGTCAGAGTCCACACAACATAAACAGTGCTTGGGTGTTCACACAGTGATTTATCGTCGTACAAAAACCTCCCTCAGTCAGACTGCAGAGACACTGAGCTGTTACAGCAGGAAGCGACTGCAGCTGCTGAAGAGGAAGAGACTCTGACACAGACCACTGAACACAGAGCTGACAGTAACCTCACCAAGCACACACTACATATTCACAACAATACATTGTCACATATTATATGTTCTTGTGAACTTTTGTTTCTATTCCATGTCAAAAATGTATGAACCAGCATCATGTTATGTCCATTTTACACAGACAGTAGTACAATTACAATTCATAAGACACCTGCAACTTTACCTCCTTTAACTAAGCTTTATATTCACCATATGATATGAGAGTGGTATTGATTCTGATGGAAGAAAAAAGGTGTAGCACACTCTGGCTCCATATGCATTTCTCTTTGACAGGAAGTATTCCATTTTCTCATGACCTCCATCATTGGATTGAGAAGGTAACAATCCCTGCAAGAGGAGGTCATTTGGATGTTTTACTTTCCAGGAGGGAACATGATTGGATCCACTGTCTAAGAACTCTGTTACCCAAATGGACTGATTATGAATTATGACTTGAAATGTTTTCTGTATGTTCCTCGACTTACTGGATATTTAGATAAAGTTGTTTCTGATGTTCAGTTAGAGCTGATGTCTAAACTTTTGCCATTTGTGTTTTAGAAATCGACTTAATACTTGTGTATTTTAACATTTTTAAATGTAGTGTAGCTAAAAAACTGTTTTGTTCAAAGGTTTTGATTTGTTGAGGGCCTCTTGATTGTTTTGTGCTCAACCTAATGGTGTCACATGATGATCTAATCACTATCAGCTGTGTGTCCAGGGTGTGACCTATATAACCAATCAGTGTGCTTGTGTGTGAGTGTGATTGTTGGTCTTGTCAAAGCCTGAGAGCTGAAGTGTCATCTGAATGAAAGAGAAATTCATATGGAGCCAGAGTGTGTGACACTTGTTTTCAACCTGCAGGTCTTCTACCAGTGATCAGAACATTACTACAACCTTTGGTGTGTGTTACGTTTCATCTTTATGTTGTGATATTGATCTTTTAATTAATTCATATCCTTTTTTGAAAGGAGAGATGTGCTGATGTTGCTGTGATGTGTAGAGAGAAAGATCAGGTAGCTGGGATGATCAACTGAAACACTGAGCTGGCCCCAAATATGTTGAGGTCAGATGGGTTTACATCACATTATTCTAAACGCAACACCTGGATCATCAGTGACGTGAAATTATTGAAGAAATTTAAAGTCAGTCAATGATTGTGGCATGCTGTAGCGCTTTGTTTTACATTTTGGGACTGCAAAGCTCTGACCAGAGGGGAGAAGCTGAAACTCTTCATGTAAGGGATGAGAGTGGTCATTGAGGATGGGCTTAGTTATATTCTGTAGGTGCCTGTTGTACAGGGACTTGGGACTGAGCTGTGGTTCGCCAATCAGCTTCCCTGACCATCTCACAATTTGCATCAGTTTGTTCTTTTCCTTCACAGATAAAAAGCCATACCATGACACCAAGGAAAAGGATAAAACTGACTCAATAAAATACCGATAGAAAAATGTCATGATGGTTTTGTCAGTGTTAGAAGACGACAACTTTCTTAAACAGAACAAACGCTGGTGTGCTTTTTTACACACAGCCTCACAGTTTGTGTCAAAATTTAATTGAAAGTCTGAAATAGTCCTAAGGTACTTAACTAATTGCAAAATTTCTACTGCCTTTTTTCAAACAGGCTCTGACACATACTTATGTACAAGATGAAAAGCAAAGGGGGACAAGACGCACCCTTGTGGTGAGCCTGTTAATGACACCGTTTGGTCTGACAGGACTCCATTAACTCTGACTCTCTGAGTCCTGTCTGGAATCCAGCCAGCAAGATTATTACTTATGTGAAATTGGTCTAAAAGCCTACAGGTTAAAATCTGTGGCTGAATTGTATTAAAAGCGGAAGAAAATCAATAAATAAAAGTCTAGCATGACATCCATTTCTCTCAGTGTTTGAGAAGCAAATTAAGAAGAGTGAGTGTGGCATCCTCTACTCCTCCATGGGGCCTCCACGCAAACTGCAGAGGATCCAGCAGATGCTCAGTGTTCTGCAGGATCTCTGACCTTACAAGTTGCTCAAAAACTGTCATGGGGATTGAAGTTAATGCCATGGTCTGAAATCAATGAAGGTTATGGGGCAGCTAGATTTAGGGATAGGAACAACCACAGCATTTTTCCAGATGCTAGGGACAAGTTGTAACTCTAGAGACTGACTGAAGATATAGTGAAACACTGGACTCATCCCCTTTGCACAGTATCGAAGAACACGCCCACATATCTTGTCTGGTCCATGACTTTTGTTAATCTTAACACGACAAAGCTCTCGCTCAACCTCATTTTGATTAATATTAAAGTGTTTGTCATTTCTCAGTGTATGGCTCAGTTCCTGCACTTCTTTATAAAAAATAAAGTGTGTCAAAATAATTATAAAAACAGTTAAGAGCATTGGCAAAATCTAAATCTGCAGTGAGATCAGTTGATACAGTTTGCCAGCAGGGGGTGCTATAGACCTGTTAAAGGAGACAGAGTCATGTGATACTGTAAAGAAATGAAAAGGACATTGTTTATGATGAAGAGAAAAACCATTAAAAAAAGAGCATAAAGTCACACTTGTCTAAATGGGCTGCGAACGGTGGAATGATCTTCAGGATGATGAACTGTTTCTCCAACTCACCTCTGCTTTTTCTGTTTCACATGGACAGGTGTGCCCAGATGTGTTTTGCATGACTTTAATGCATCACTTCTCCTCACAGTTTTAAGTTCTCATGTCACAGAGAGTCTGAACTGTTTTCATGCACTCACACTGAAAACTGCATCAGGATGATGTTGACAATAACTCTGCTTGTCATGTTGGGTTTTCTGAGTCAGGGTGAGAGGTTCTGAAAATGTGTCTGACATTGTGGCTTTGATTAATGTCTAATTTATTATATTCTAAACTGCTGATACTCAAGGTTTATATTTCATTTCTCATTTCAGAGTCTTCTGCCAACAATTTTCTGACTCAGACTGACAAATCCAAGTCTGTTAGTCTTGGAGGGACTGTGACCATCAGCGCCACAGGGAGTTCA